GAACATTATTGGAAAGTGGTCACTGTTGGAGGCGCAAATCAAGGGCTGTCCACGATGTACTAGCAATGGCCGAGCTTACAAAGCTTAAATCTAAGGCGGAGCGTGAATGACCTCAAATAAATGTGGGAGTTCTAGCGTTAAGGCACAATAAGTTGTTGTCTACCGACCAGTCCCACAACCGTTGTCCACACTGATCTGTTCTAAAACCCCAGCAGGTATGGTGAGAGTTGAAGTCACCAACTATAATTTTTTCTTTACAGCCTGAATTAGCAGTTATATCTAACAGTATCGTGTCTTGAACGCCTACAGGAAAGTAGACGTTTATTAGCGAGAAAGGCAAGTATCCTGGCAAGGTAATACCTAACGCGAAAATTTCGCATTCAGAAGACATACATTTGTATGAGTTTTTGACTTTGAAACTAATTTTATTGTTTATAAAGAAAGCTAAACCTCCACCTTTGGATGGACGGTCTAGACGAAAGGTTTGGAAGTTGGGTAGGTGAAATACATGATGTGTGGATAGCCAAGTTTCTTGTAATGCAATAATAGCCGGATCGAATTTGGAAGACAGGTATAACAGATCTGTTATGGCTGAGTGAAGAGATCGGCAATTCCAATGTATAATTTTAAGAGACCCAATGATTTCGTTAAAATGGTTTTGGCAATCACCTTATCTAAAATACTTTCTTTTAGAAAATCGGTTTTTGAAAGGTTGTCTTTCTGGTATTTCTTGCTTTTTACATGTTTCGGCGAGCTAGGTTTTTTCGATGCAGGGGATCTAGAACGCTTTAGGCATTTGAGATCTATGTCCATATCTTGTGTGTCCTGAGAAGTTTCCTGTGCACCCTCGCTTTGCCTCTGAACGCCTTCTCCAGAGGGCTCTGCAGACTGTGCATCTGATGGAGTTATCTCAGATTCTGCCTCACTTGTCGGGTGTGCAGACTCAGCATTTTTTACAGTTGTACTTATATCTATCTGTGCTCCATAGACTTGTGCGATTCGGTTATTCACAATGTGCGACAGCGACTCACATAGGGTGGTAGCAAGGCCTTGCATAGCCTTATCCACAGCCTTCTCGATCATGTCTGCAATTGATGGGGAAAAGGATGCTTCCATTGCTATGTTATGGCGGGCAGCTGCTCCGGCATATCCTTGAGTTTGGGCTCGGATTTCAGCAATGGCATCCTTTCGGGAGCATCGCCTTCTGTCTACAATTTCAAGTATTTGGATTTCACGAGCCTTGGCTGAGCAGTTTGGGTTATCAGCGCAGTGTGCTTCATGGCAAAGACAGCACTTTTCTTCATTACTTTTACAGTCGTTTGAGTTGTGCGTCTCCCCACAAATTCTGCATCTAGGTACTGACCTGCACCCTTTCACTGTGTGCCCATAACGCCAACATTTAATACACTGTAGGGGACGAGGTGATAGTGGCTCGACTCTTTATATTAAAGGCCACGCTTTGATTTCGGTTGGGCGATTCGACCCGGCAAATGTAGCAATCACGGACTCCGTTGGGACCTTGTTCTTGTCCACAACTCGACTACATCTATAGATAGCTATCACACCTGCTTCTGAAAACATATCTAATATCTCAGTTGGGGTCAAGTTGACATCGACACCCCGAACGAGGCCTTTGACACAAGCTAGGTGAGGTGGAATGAATGCGCTCACCGGGTTGGTAGCGAATACCGAGCATTTTAGTAGGTCTCGAACACAGAGCTGGTCAGACGAGAAGCAAAGAATGCCACCCTTGCCAAACTGCCTGACCTCTGTGATGCTTTGGTAGTGAGTTGTAGCAGCTCTCAACTCCGTCTGAATCATTTTTGGATTCTTCATCTGTATGATACCATCGTTGCTTGGGACCAATGCCACAGGAATGGATGAGACGCCATTGCATAAAAACAAGTCCACTGGCAATTCCTGCGAAGGAAGAGAAGCAGACCAGAGGAAAGCCCCTGGTCCAGGTGAGGAAAACGACATCTGCCTGGTCGTACTATCTGAAAATACACTCGCTAATCAATAAGGACACTATAGAAACGCTTACGAAAAAAAGAATAAATAAAATCAATCACAACTATTGAATTCTTGGCCAAACCCTCGGAGCAGGCAAACGTCAGTCGCTGTTCGAAAGCTCGAGATCGAGCGTGGGAGGCTTTTTACAACCTGTCAACGTCGTCATTCTTTCTTGTTTTTCACGCTGATACATGTGTTTGTACCTGATTTGCGATTCTATTTGAGAAATAATGCACTGAAATGTCAACTGAAATGCAATGTCAACTAAAATGTAAAAGAAGGTTCTCAAAGTCACATGAAATAAAATGATTCAAGATAGCCGTCACATTTACTCAATGCGTGATGAAACTCTTCTCTAACCAACGGCAACCCATGCATTTTTATGCATTCACCGGCGCTCATGGATGGATGGATGTGGCTGTACCCTTTATATCGGGCGGCGGCTAAAGCCTTCTAGCCGTAATACTTAGTGAACTAACCACTAGATTTATCTTTTTTTTCCTTTAAACAGTAAAGTTCGACGGGTACTTTGCAGTGAAGGGTTTAATTTTCACTCGTGCCTTGACTTTAGCCACCAATCAGATAACCTCCTTCTAGTTAAGTCTACCGCTTAAAGTCTATTTCGCCCTCCCTGTCCCTAAACCCCAGTGCTTTGAAAAACTCTGCGCCATCATCCTGAACTATAGGGTGAAGCCCTTTACAGAACATTATCAAGTGTTCAGCAGTTTCTTCTTCCTCTCCACACGCACTGCATACCATGTCTGCCCCTTCGTATTTGGCCCGATATGTCTGCGTTCACAATACTCTTGTCCTGGCCTCAAACAGTAGAGAACTACCCCGAGTATTATCATAGATCCTTTCCTTAGCAATTTCTTGCTTAAAAGTTCGATAGATCTCTAGTGCGGACTTCTTAATCATGCCAATTCTTCACATATCGGTCTCAGCTTCCTTCACCTTCTTCTTAACCGATAATTCTTTTTGGTTTGGCCACCTGGTGTTTTCCAAGTATTTCCTGGTTCGCTTCCTCCATTTTGTATCGACATTCTTCATGTACAAGTAGCTGAAAACCTTCCTAGCCCAACGCTCCTATCCCGTTTCTCTCAATCGCTTCTTAAATTTTATCTTGCTGCTAGCTTCCCTGCCCTCAAATGATGTCCATCCCATATCACCTTGTACTCCCTGATTTGGTGTATTCCCGTGAGCTCCTAAGGCAAGCCTACCTATTCCACGTTGCTTAATTTCTAATCTTGCTTGAACTTCTGATCTCATGCACAAGACCGCATTGCCGAACGTCAGACCAGGAACCATGACCCTTTTCCATATTCCTCTCACAACATCATACCTACTGTAATTCCACAGTGCCCTGTTTTAGATGCGGAGCATCTTATACTCGCGCCTTGTAGTGCGCCGTCCGCGTCGTCCGCGCCGTCCACACCGCTTCTCGAACATTCGACAGCTGACGCGCGCGCATGCGCCGTCGCACCGTCGCCCACTCTTTCGCCATCTGTGCTTCCCTTCCTCCTCTACACACCGCGCGTGCTTCACTCCTCCACCATCTGAGCACCCTTCCTCCTCTACACACCGCGTTCGACATCTACAATTCTCCTGATTCTCCAGTGGACGCGCATGTGGCGTCGCTCTTCGAGAACATTCAACAGCTGACAGTGCATGCGCCGTCGTGCTGTATATATACTCAAGGTCGGCGCTCGCTCGCTCAGTTGCCGCTCGTCGGTTGGTTTGTACGGCGCGTCGACGTCCAAGGTCGCGGTGAAATGAATTCCAACGAATCCACAAACACAATGATCGACGTCCCTTCGACCAGCGCCGCCCTTTCGCATACGTGTGTACGTGTTCACTCATTTAACACCCCCTCCTACAACCACGTTAACCAATTTAGCCATCGACCCAAGTACGTCGCAATTTAACACCCCATTTCAGAACCACGTTAACCAATTTAGCCATCGACCCAAGTAAGTCGCACTTTAACACCCCGTTAACCAATTATATGGTCCGCATCCTCCTCAGTGTTCCCCCGAGGGAAGCTGCGGGCAATTTTTTTCATTACCGCTGCATTCCTGTTACATTTATTAGCCACGTATGTTTCGTGTTCCCTTAGGTACTCGGCCCCATTGCTTATCCATAAGCCCAGATATTTGTATTTATTTGTTATCTCTAGCGCGACCTCCTGTATTCTTGAATGGATGGATGTGGCTGTACTCTTTAGATCGGGCGGCGGCTAACACTACCTAGCCGTAATATTTAGTGAACTAACCACTAGATTTATCTTTTTTTCCCTTTAAATAGTAAAGTTGGACGGGTACTTTGAAGTGAAGGGTTTAATTTTCACTTGTGCCTTGACTTTAGCCACCAATCAAATAACCTCCTTCTTGTTAATTCTACCTGCCTAAAGTCTATTTTGCCCTTCCTGTCCCTAAAACCCAGTGCTTTGAAAAACGCAGCGCCATCATCCTGAACTAGAGGGTGAAGCACTTTACAAAACATTATTAAGTGTTCGGTGATAGGTCTACCAGCGCCATCTCTAGGTTGGATAAGTTAGTTCAGTACGCCACCATTATCCTTATTTTTGTTGCTTTGTCAAAGCAACGTTTCCTAGATTTCCTGTGCCTGCAGGATTATCGGCGTTCACTAGAAAAGCGGAGGTCGTTGGAACTACTGTGGTGGCGCCACTCAAGTAGGAATGTCTTTCAATAAATTTTTACGTTTTTGAAGTTTATATGCCACAAAAGTAACGTAAAAAAGTTTTAAAAAGACGTAAGCGTATTTATAATTAACCCTACGTAAGTGACGCCGTCGTTCAGCAAGCAACTTTTTAATACAAAGCATCCTCTAAAATTAGTAGCAAACGCCAAAATTGCCAATCTCAAAAACCAAGTACAAAGACTTTTATTCCTACGTAGGCAGCGCCGTCATAAATGACCGGCGTTTCGCGCGTATCCGGCAGGCACGGGAAATCCAGGAGGTGTTGGTCAAAGGTACAGTTTCTCTTCTCTAAGTAGGGTTTACTGGTAGGTGTTCTGTGGTAGCCTCTAGTAAGTACGCTGTAGCTGGGTCAGTTATAGCAGTCTCAGTAGTCTTTTCTGCACCGTTTAAATACCAGTTTGTAAATAAATCTGCAAAGAAAAGCCGTCGGTGATCATAATGCGTAGCGACGATGATAGATACGGCGACAAGCCTCGCTCATCGAGCCACTCGAAAAAGTTCCGCATGAACGAGGGAGACTGGCTCTGCGGCGATTCGCAGTAAGTTCACGGTCATCTAATACAACAAAACTAGCATGCTATGTCGCAGGGGCGACCTAGGCCCCCTTCAACGTTGGTGACTACGTTTGTGTACGCAACTTGTTTATGCTAGTTGTATCAACACATGATGAAAAGAGAGAGATATATACGTTGTTCACTAGAACTGAACCTTCTGCATTGTTTGTACGGTGTGTCTAAAGGTACGTCGGACGTACCCGAATACCAAAAGCTAAAGGTACGTCCGACGTACCCGAAACCGTGAGTCTAAAGATACGTCGGACGTACCCGATTACTAAAAGCTAAAGGTACGTCCGACGTACCCGAAACCGTGAGTCTAAAGATACGTCGGGGGTACGCGAAACTGAGTCTAAAAAAAAAAAAAAGATACGTCGGACGTACGCCGGGAGTTGCCGGGTGGGTCCACGGCTACCGCGTACCAATTTTTGCATATATACGAAGAAACGAGCCTTCGTGCGAGCCTGCTCACGTAAAAGACTGACAGGGAGCGAGTACTACCGGTGACAATGGAAAACTTAGAGCATCGCGTGGTTGACGAACGGCGTCGATGTCGGCGGTGCCGTTCTCTCCTAGCAGATCTTTTGAACGGAAAGGGGGAGGCTCGCACGTAAGTACAGAGGCTGATGTCCTTCCCTCGGCAGAGCAATTTTCGGGCAAAGAGTTCTGTGCGGTACTCTCGCGAACGCGGTTTTGTGTGATATGCGCCTATGTAGCCAGCTGAGTTTGCACGAAAACCATTCTGGGAGCCGACCTACTCGCTGACCTTTGAAACCGTAACTGCGACCGGCTCCCAAAAACTAACCAGCGCGCTTGAGTCCACGAGGTTTCCAGATGAGCGGGTCGTTAGCTAATTACTGCAGGGAAAAAAACAAGATGTAAGATTTTTAAATGCAAAGCATTTCTTAGCAAACCAAACGAATTTATTTATCTGGTTAGCCAAGTTAGATCACTAACTAGCTAGCCGCCTACGCCTGGGTGCTCTCATGATCTCCTCCTTAGCAGGTTGCAAAAACGAAAAAGACAGGCCAGATAGCATTTTAATGCTCTTATTATACATAGTTTTCACGTGACATCACAGACAGGTTCTCTGCACTGGGTGCTCCGAGATGGCGGCAACCGTGACTTTTTATGTCATTAGAGAGTACCATTGCAGAGGAGGACACACAGTTGTTCGGTCCCCGTGTTCTTTTGTGATGTCCCCACTTTCTTCTGTTCGCAAGGCGCGCTGTGGGGAATCAAAGGAACGCGAAGGGCACCGGCACAAATCCTATGTCACCGTTTGAGCTAACCCAGCATCTCAAAGTAGCTGGGGGCCCTAAGATGGCGGCCATGGTGACGTCAATGCAAACTATGTATACAATGAATGAATTCAGTGTTCACTGAAGGCACAACTAATGCAAGCTTTAATCAAAGGATCACAATTGTATGAAGAATAATAGGAACAAATACACAGACACACAATACATGTAAATGTCACTCGCATGAAACAGCACTAAGCTTTCTTCCATTTTTTATAAGCATGCCAGTGGGGCATACACTCAGCCATCTTTTGTTGTGCTTAAGCAAACCCTGCTTGCGAGCTCCCCTGCTTGCGTAGAAGCAAACCCTGCTTGCGTAGAAGCTTTGGAGCAATTCTGCTCATTTGTAGCATTAATGTAGTAGCTTTCACAAAACGTAGCAGGTTGGAGTAATTTTGCTCATTTGTAGCATGTATGGACCAGCTTTAACAAAATATAGCACGTAGGAGCAATTGCAGCAGGTTTCCCATCGCTGTGTTCCACTCACGGAGCAGCTCCTTTACATTTGGGCTGCTGCTACACACTTCGCACAAAACCAGGAACTATTCCTGTTGCGGCTGCTCAGTGAAGTACAGATTTGGTGGAACCAACACAAACATAAGTCACAAATCACAGAAGGGTCCTCTTCTAACAGGTCCCGACATTCGTTGCATTTCCACTTTATGGTTTGCTTCTTCACCTTGACTGTTGCCAGCACAGCTGTCCAGCCGTCTTCAGTGAAGTATTTCTGGACACAGTCAAGGTGAACTTCCTCGTCGAGGATTGTCTCTGGAATCCTGGAAGGTATGGTTTCCACCTGGTCCTCACCTGTAAAAATTACTGAATAAGTGTTCTGAACCTGCCATCAGATGGCTTTAAGGTACAACAGAATGCTATGAATCTGAACAAGGGGAACTTATTTCTAGGGCTCAGGTTTATTTTGTGAATTGAACACTCAATATTCTTACAGAATGTAGCTGTAGTTGCAGCCCTATAGGTGATATCAGACACCTTCGTACTACACCTTAGATAGCGACTGAAGTTGCAACAAAATAGGAAATTTAAGCATAAATAAAGGTAAATCTCACAACTCACCGAGTAGCAGTTTCCCCTGCTGAACCTCACTTAGCAGGCCCTGAGGAACTAAGCAACTTAGGATCCTGAGCTCCTTTTCCTGAGGAGGCAGATCGCGAAATGGCTGCAGTGTTGCTGCTGATTTGTGGGGTCCCTGCCGCCGTCGTGGAAGCCCAATAACGGTTTTCTCCGCCCCTTTGGGTCGACCTCGTGACTTCACCTTAGCGGGCACTTTCAGCTTTCCGAGGCGTTCGCGCATGTAGTCTGAAGGCCCGGCGCTGCTTGCAGGGGCCAAGGTATTCTCGCGTGGCTGTGCCTTTCTCACTTCATCAGGAGTTTCGCATGCACCTGCATTATGGGCACGCTGCTCTTTCTCAGGAGTGGTATGAAGTGGTTCTGCCCCGGTATGGCTTAAAGGTGCTTGAGGCAGATCTGGTTGATCATGTGAATTATTCTGATCTGCAGTTTCAGACGTGTCCCAATCCTCACCTGATGCAGCTTTGGGTGACTCTGCATTCTCTTCTACGGACACAGTCAGCTCCAGCTGGCGTCTGACTTGCTCTGGTGATGAAGGGGATGAGGCTTCATGACGCAACACTTCCACGATTTCAATTTCGCGCCCTTGCTCCCATGCCTCAGAGAGTGCCAACAAAACTTTTAGACGGCCCTGGTATCTTTCACCTGTTTCTTCTGCAGCAAGTTGAGCTATGTACTTGCATGTAGGAAATACCTCCCTGTATTTCTCATGCTGCGACATTGGCCTCCGAGGTTTTGCAGCCTGCTCCGAAATGGAATGTTCAGTTGTGCACTTCTCTTGAGAAAGGAAGGCTCTCTGATGACAGTAGTAATATGCCTTGGACCACCTTTTTAGAAAAAGTTTGTCATCAAAGAGACTAATGTTCAGAGTCCGCCTAACTGCAAACACATGCCGGCATGGCAGTCTCATAGCGTTCCAAAAGGAACAATTGCAGTTAGTTTTTGTTGTTGACGTGTTGCCAGACGACGCCTCGAATGTGAACACATCTGCTTTTTGGTCACTTGGTACTCGCTTGGCTGACAGGTAGATCTGCTCCCTTACAAGCTTAAAGGCATAGGGAGTCAATGATTCCTGATACATAGCTTCTTCAGGGCTAGAAGGTGCTTTGCAAGGTCTTTTGGATATGCTTGTCAATGCTCTGTGGTCACGTTCATCGCTCAAGGCGTTCAATACTGTGAAAAGTGAGCACACAAACTCTTCAAGGGAGCTATTCTTTTTTATAACACTTTTCAGTTTTGCGTTCAGACTTTCAATTCTGTTGTTGGTAGTGTTGTTAAAGTTTTCAGACATAAACTTGGGTCCAGTGTACCACTCATCCTTGATGGGACGCCAGTTTTTGTCATAGTAAGAGCGGATCTCTTGGCAAACATTATTGTCAAATTCCAGTTGAAGCTCCTCAAATTTTTCACTCGATCGTGACAGGACCATCTTCTGGAGCAGTGCCAGGGCTTGGTCCCTTTCCTCTGCAGTGATGTTCATCTTGTTGCAGGCAATCTCGCGTCGAAAAGTCTTTAAAGTGTGGAACACACAGATGAGCACCTTCGACTGCGGGAAGCTTTCTTTGAGAAGGTCACGCTCCAAAAGGTCCTTGTCTGCCATGACACACTTTACTTTTGGCCAAGATGGGTGCAGTTCCTTGAACTTTTCCAACATCCATTTGATAGTGGGTGCAGACTCATTCACAAGAATTGCAACACATACTGTCTCTGTGTCTCCATTGGAGTCTTCAACGTGCATCACATAGACTGGTGTTCGTATTTCTAGAAGCTTGTAGGTGGCATCAATTCCTAGGAATTCTGGGTAGGCATCCATATTTGACCGCATAGACTCATTGGACAGCAAAATTCCTTGGAAGTTTTCCCCATCAGCAAGGATGTGGTAGTCTGTACCTGTAGAAATAAATTTCATGGTCTAAATGTAAAAGATTTGGCCGACTGTACATACGAGTTTCTCTGAAGCCCACTGGAAAACCCAGATGCAATTATTTAAAAACTTGTGCTACAATATCAGGTGCTTACCATGCTCATTTTGCAGAAGAGCTGCAGTCTTAATGAGGTCATTCCTTGTCTGTGGTCTGAGGGAAGAGGCCGCATTGCTCAAGTCTTTGAGCAGGACAAGTTTCCCCGTCTTTTCTTCTATCCTTTTCTTAACCAACTTCTTGTTGGCATGCAAAGCCAAGAGCTGTGTGGCTTCCTCCTTGGCCCCTGGTTCTCTTAATGCTCTGGTTTGTGGCAGGTGGCTGTAGAGTAACTGCAATAAAATAAACTTTTCATTCAATGTTAAACTGAACTACATATGCAATTATAGGTTAACTGCATTATGCAATGTCAAGCTCACAGAGTGAAGCAAACAAGTGCAGACAACATTCTGCATATATGGCATCTAGGTTCTTAGCACAAGCAAGCTCACTTCAATCTCACCTTATCATGCTTGTAACTGTAAATCTGTGTTTCCTATATATGGCTCGCATGTGATGTCAAGGACACAGTTCCTGAATGTAGTAGCACTGTAGAATGGCGGCTTTGATGACAAGCAAGTTGCAGTTAATCTGCCTCAATGTAATAATGATGCAGCAGGAATTCCTCTGAGTGTGA